TCAAATGAAAGTCAAACACATTCAAACAATGATTTTTGAACCAAATGAAATTCAAACACATTCAAACAAAGCTTTTTGAATCAAATGAAAGTTAAACACGTTCAAACAAAGATTTTTGAATCAAATGAAAGTCAAACACATTCAAACAAAGCTTTTTGAATCGAATGAAAATTATTTGCATTCAAAAAAGCTAATTGAATCAATTGAAAACAGAACACATTAAAACAAATCTTTTTGAATCAAATGAAATTCAAACACATTCAAACAAAGCTTTTTGAATCGAATGAAATTTAATAGAATTCAAACAAAGCTTTTAGAATCAAATGAAAGTAAAACACATTCAAACAATGATTTTTGAGCCAAATTAAATTCAAACACATTCAAACAAAGCTTTTTGGATCAAATCAAAGTTAAACACATTCAAACAAAGATTTTTAAATCGATTGAAAGTCAAATGCATACAATGAAACTAATTGACTAAAATAAAAGTCGAACACATTCAAACAAAGTTTTTTGAATCAACTGAAAGTCTAACACTTTCAAACAAAGCTTTTTGAATCGAAGGAAAGTCAAACACATTCAAACATTGCTTTTTTATTCAAATTAAAGTCAAACACATTCAAACAAAGCTTTTTGAAGCAAAGGAAAGTCAAACACATTCAAACAAAGCTTTTTTAATCAAATTAAACTCAAACATTCAAACAAACCTTTTTGAACTTAATGAAACTCAAATGCATTCAAAGAAACTAATAAAATCAAATGAAAGTTGAACACATTAAAACAAATCTTTTTGAATCAATTGATATTAATAAACATTCTAAGAAAGTGTTAGAGCTCTCTCAGCACAAATGTGGCTTCTACTAGATAATATGAAACCGATACCTCATAAAGATAAGCAATATATGGGATAGACAAATAACCACTATGAAGGAAATAATAAATATAAGAAAAAACTTTCTTAATGCTAAAACTTTGACGTAAAAAATGAATAATTATTTTTTAAAAAACTATTTCTACATTGTGATTCTGCATATTTATAATGAATATAATGCTAATTAAACAATGATTCAGATTATTTCTCTAACAATCACTAATATTGTTTCTTTTAATTAGCAAATTAAAAAAACTAAACAAAAGGTAATCGTACCTATTACCCTCCTTATATTTCTCTCCTCCAATTAGTTCCTTAATTTTCTCACAAATCTCCACCTCGTTCATAATTTGAAAAACATTCAAATATTGGACGAACAAATTGCGTAGGTCGTATCCGGTTGCACCATTTTACAATGGCTGCCTACGTACCCTCGACCGGGATCAAACTAATCGTAGTTCCACTTATTTCTTCATGTAGTAACTACCATGAAACAATATTGAGCAATTCCAAACAATGTTGGAACTTACTTTCTGAGACAACTTTGGTCAATATGTCTGCAGGGTTTTCATTTGTATGCACCTTCATAAGAGAAATACTACCTTCCTCTATGACATCTCATACAAAATTATACCTTACATCTATATGTTTGGTACGAGCATGATGAACCTGGTTTCTGGCCAAATGAATAGCACTTTGGCTATCACAATTCAGATTCACACAATCTTGTCTCAACCCCAAATCATCTAGAAGTCCCCACAACCATAAAGCTTCCTTAAATCCTTCTGCCATTGCCATGTACTCGACTTCTGTCGTAGATAGAGCCACTGTAGCCAGTAACATTGATCGCCAACTAACCGGAGCACCATGTATTTTAAACACATAACCAGTAGTAGATCGTCTTCTATCTAAATCACCAGCATAATCCGAGTCAACAAAGCCACTTATTTGACATGTATCTCCACCAAAGCATAAGCCTTTGTCAGTGGTACCTTTCAAGTACCGTAAAATCCATTTCACTGCTTCCCAATGTGCTTTACCTGGGTTCGCTATGAACCTACTAACAACACTGAATGCTTGTGAAATGTATGGACGTGTATACACCATAGCGTACATTAAGCTACCAACTGCACTAGCATAAGGTACATTATCCATGTATGCCTTATCTTCCGCTGTAGTGGGAGATTGTTTACCAGAGAGTCTAAAATGTGGAGCCAATGGAGTCACCACTAACTTAGCACCTTTCAATCCAAACCTATCAATAATCCGCTCAATATAGCCTTTTTGGCTCAAGAACAATTTTTGGTTTGACCTCTCTCTTTTGATCTCCATACCCAGTATTTTTTTTGCAGCGCCCAAGTCTTTAGTCTCGAACTCTTCACCGAGTTGAGTTTTTGACCTATCTATCTCCACCTTGCTTTTTCAAGCAATTAGCATGTCGTCTACATACAATAGGAGATAAATATAATCACTTCCACGAAGTTTGCGAATGTATACACAACAATCGTAATACTTATGGAAAAACCTTGTTTTAACTTAAAAGAATCAAATCGCTTGTACCATAGTCGAGGAGATTGTTTTAATCCATAAAGTGGTTTCCTCAAGCGACATACCTGATTCTCTTTATCCTCAACCTTAAATCCCTCAGGTTGATACATATAGATTTCCTCATCCAAGTCACCGTGTAAGAAGGCCATCTTCACATCAAGTTGTTCAAGCTCAAGATCTCTATGAGCTACAAGACTCAATAACACCCGAATAGAAGTATGCTTTACCATTGGAGAAAATATCTCATTGTAATCAACACCTTCTTTCTGTGCAAATCCCTTGGCCACTAACCTAGCCTTTGATGAGTGTCATTTATGGAACTCATAGGGTAGTCTTTTAGGGTTATTTCTTTCCCCTTTCATGCTTTCTTCTCTTATTTTTGGTCCATTTCCCTTTAGTTTCTCTTTTTCCTCTTTTCTTTATGATTCTCGTGTTTTTATTGTGTTTTCCTTTATTTGTCTCTTTTTCCTTTTTATTTCCTTTCTTTGTGTACTTGTGTAGGTATTGTGAGAATCACTTTGGAAAAGGATTCAATTTGGGACTTTAATGATCAAGCAAGTAAGAATAATTTGGCTAGAGAGGGCTTGGATAGGCCTCAGAGAGGTTTCCAAGGCAAATCCATCAGGCCGCGGGCGCGGGTCATCTTGCCGCGGGCGCGGGCCCATGTTACTCAAAATTGCCAAAACTTGGCAGGAACTTACCGCGGTTGCCCCGCAGGCTCTCCGCGGGCGCGGGTAAAATGGAGAGGCCGCTCCATTAAGAGTGAACGCGGCCCCCTAATTAGGCTTTAAGAGCAGGGGATTAGCCGCGGGAGCGGGTTTCACTGCCGCGGGCGAGGATCTCTGTTGGTTCTATTTGATTGATTGGTTTCTTGCAATTAAATTGGTTGACATAGTTTTGCTTGTGATTGATTAGACTAGGAGTGATCAACCTATAAGATTAATCTAGATTGCATTGCAACTCTTAATGACATGAACAATCGAATTGAAAGTTGCTCTAATTTATTGGGTTTGCTTGTGATTATTCTTGATTTCCCTTTCATAGTGACACCTAGATTGGCCTATAGGAGACAACATTTGAACTCTCTTGATTGCTACTATTGTTTGTCCATTGCAATACTTTAATTAATTGATTGAGCTCTAAACAAGCATTATCATTGAACTTGCATGTGGAACCCATATCCCTAGTGTTTAGACCTTTGTTTTACTTGATTAGACTTGCTTTTTTTTACCATAGTGCCAACCATAATATCAACTCCATCTTTGAGGTAGCTTGACTTAGACTCTAGTTTTCATCATTGCATTCCCTAGGGATCGACCCTTAACTTGCCCTATATTCATGTAAGGTTGGTTAGGTGTTTACAAATTTTGTTTGACTTGGGGAAAGGGTAGATAACGACATAAATTTTCCCCCTCGTCAAAATGACGCCGTTGCCGGGGACTGCTATTGGTGCTTAGCTTTTGTTGTTGAGTCTACTTCATTTTAATTGAAAAAATATATACAAAAAGATTTTGTTTCTTTAGGCTACACTTGTAGCCGTGCTACTAATATTTTCTTTGAAGTTTTGCATGCATAGAGCTCGTGATCGATCCATTGTGCCTTTTGACCCGGAAATTGAAAGGACTCTCTCAAGAAGAAGAATAGCTAATCGATTCTCCTTGGGGTATAGTTCTTCAAGCGAAGAAGAGATTGAAGAAGAGCAAGGCATGGGAGAAAATCCGAGAGTGGCCTTGAAGGAGCTAGGAATACCCGGTGCTTATAGGTTTGAGGGCTGCATAGCTCCGCCTACATCACCGGCAAATGATTTCGAGATTCGGCCGGCCATGATCACCTTAATTGAGAGGAGGCAATATAGTGGGGCTAAGAATGAGAGCCCGTTGAACCATCTTACAGAATTTGAAATATATTGCAACACCATCAAAGTCAACGGAGTTTCTCAAGAGTTCATACGCCTCAAGTTGTTCCCCTTCTCTCTCATAGGAAGATCCTTAGAGTGGTTAGATAAAGAGGTGAAGCCCAATTCCTTGAGAACATGGGATGATGTTACAAAGGCCTTCTTGTCCCGTTTTTACCCTCAAAAGAAGACGGCGGAGGCAAGAGCCTTGATTCAAGGGTTCAAGCAAAGGCCAAATGAAAGCCTTTACGAAGCATGGGAGAGATACAAAGAGTATCAAAGGGAGTGCCCTCACCACGGAAACCCAACATACCAAGTGGTCCAAATCTTCTATGGCGGTTTAAGTCCCCAAGGCAAGTCATGCCTTGATGGGGGGCCGGGGGTCCTATCATGAACAAGACCGAAGAAGAAGTGGTGGACATCATTGAGGACGTGGTGACGTACTATAGAGATTGGCAAGATGGGGAGAAAGACTCTTCAAGCAAGCAATCTTCATTGTACTCGGTAGACCATCTAAACGCAATCAACAACCTTTCCTCCCAAATGACAAACTTGGGAAAGGAGATGACCGCAATCAAAGCCAAATTGGAGAGCACTTCTACTTCATCACAAGCTACGAATATTCCCTCCCAATTTAAAGGGAGAGGTACTCCTTCTAATTCTCAACCCCTTCCCTCTTAACATAATATGCCTATGGGTTGTTTGTTTTGTGATGCATGTGGATCGTATGATCATGACTCTAGTAATTGTCCTAATGAATGTGTTGATGAGTTTGATAACAATGAGAGTGAGCATGTGAATTATGTGTCAAATAATAATGCTCAAAGGTTTGATAATCAAAGAGGTCAATGGAATAGGAATTACCAAAACCAAGGCAATTTTTACAACTATAATCAAGGTGGTGGTTATAGAAACCAAGGGAACCAAGGTTCCCGTGGTAGCTATAATAACCAAGGTAGTGGTAACCATAATCAAGGTGGTGGTAACCATAATCAAGGTTATGGACAAAATCAAAATAGGGGTACTTGGAGCAATCAAGGGAAGGGCAATTTTCAAAATAATGCTCAAAGAGGTCCCCCACCCGGATTTGTTCCAAGGACTCAAGGAGAAAATTCCTATTCCCAACCATCTTCACCTAGGACCAATTTGGAAGAAATAATTGAGAATCAAACCAAGTTGTTGAACACATACATGGCCGTTAGTGATAAGAAGTTCAATGAAATGATGACCCACAATAAAATGCTTGAAAATCAAATTTCTCAACTTGCTAATGCTTTGAAAGATCATGCAAGCCCTTCTTCTTTACCTTCCCAAGGTCTTGATCCCAAGAAACACGTGAATGCTATTGTTAATAGGAGCGGTAAGGTTCTTGAGGAGAGATTGCCTAGGAAGGGTGAGGATAAGGAGATTCCTAAGAAAGCCTTGGTTGAGAATGAGGGGGTTAGGGCATCATTGGATGAGGTTGTGGTTGAGACACCTAGAGAGGTGAGAGTAGAGAAAGAAATTGTGAAAACCAAGCTCCCTTACCCATAAAAATTCATGAGACACAAATTGGATGAGCAATTTGGGAGATTCATTGATATGCTAAAACAACTTCATCTTTCTCTACCTTTTACCGATGTGATCAACCAAATGCCGAATTATGCCAAATTCCTCAAGGACATTTTGAGTGGGAAAAGGACTTGTGAGGTTGTGGAAACTATCAATTTGACCGAAAATTGTAGTGCTATTATCATGAACAAAATGCCACCAAAATTGAAAGACCCCGGAAACTTCTCCATCCCTTGTGCCATTAACAAGATGCAAATTGATAATGCCTTATGTGACTTGGGAGCTAGTGTTAGAATAATGCCATATTCGGTTTATAAAAGGCTTGAACTAGGGGAACTCTTACCTTCTAACATTACCTTGCAATTAGCCGATAGGTCAATCAAGTTTCCAAAAGGTAAGGTAGAAGATGTTCCATTGAGGGTTGGGAAGTTTGTGTTCCCGGTGGATTTTATGGTGCTTGAAATGGATGAAGATGCTATTATTCCAATCATTTTAGGTAGACCCTTTCTTGCTACCTCGGGTGCTATGATTGATGTGAGGAGTGCAAAGATTTCCCTTAAGGTAGGAGATGAGGTTATTGAATTTGATTTGAATGAAAGCATGAAATATCCATCTTCTTCTCTAGAAAATTGCATGATGATTATTCACTTGATCATGTTGTGTCTTCCATGCATGAGCACTTGCTCACCTCTAACGATGCTCTGAAGAATGTTTTGTTCAACAAGGACAAAGTAGGTACACCATGCGAGGAAGTGGCATTCTATGAAGAATTGCTTAACGGAAGCATGGAAGAAGTGGATGAGAAAATGTGCTTGAAAATCTCAAGCAAAGAGGCTTTGCAAGCGGCCACATCAAAGGAAGGTAATGGTGTGCCTATGGTAGAGCTCAAACCTCTACCATCACACCTTAGGTATGAGTTCTTGGGCCCTCATTCCACTTATCCCGTGATAGCAAGTGCATCCTTGAGCGTGAGCCAAGCTCAAGCTTTATGTGGTGTTTTGAGAAAGCACCAAGGTGCTTTGTGGTACACAATTGATGATCTTAAAGGTATAAGCCCCGCCTTGTGCCAACACCATATAACACTTGAGGAAGGCGCCCTTCCTTCTATCGAACGACAAAGAAAAACTACATCCCCAAATGGGAGAAATAGTTAAGAAGGAGATCACCAAGCTATTGGATGCGGGAATCATATTCCCCATCTCTAGCTCAAGGTGGGTCTCCCCCGTGCATGTCGTTCCAAAGAAGGGGGGCATGATCGTGGTTGAGAATGAGAAGGGTGAGCTCATTCCAACTAGGACGGTAACGGGTTGGCGAATGTGTATAGACTATAGACGTCTAAACACATCCACCAAGAAGGATCATTTCCCTCTTCCATTTATTGATCAAATGCTTTAAAGACTAACAAGGCACAAGTTCTATTGTTTCCTCGATGGATATTCGGGATTCTTCCAAATCCCCATTCACCCCGATGATCAAGAGAAAACTACCTTCACATGTCCTTATGGGACCTTTGCCTATCGAAGAATGCCCTTTGGGTTATGCAATGCTCCCGCTACATTCCAAAGGTTCATGATGAGTATCTTTGGGGATATGTTGGAGGAGGAAATGGAGGTTTTCATGGATGACTTTTCGGTGGGGGGTGTCTCATTTGAGGAGTGCCTTGCGAACCTTGAGAAGTGTTTGGAAAGATGTGTTAAGGTCAATCTTGTTTTTAATTGGGAGAAATGCCACTTCATGGTGGAAGAAGGTATAGTGCTTGGGCACAAGATTTCAAATAGAGGCATTGAGGTGGATAAGGCAAAAATAGAAGTTATTGAGAAAACTTCCACCTCCGGTAAATGTCAAGGGTGTGAGATCGTTCCTTGGTCATGCGGGTTTTTCATCAAGGATTTTTTCACTTATTGCTAAGCCCCTAAATGACCTTCTTCAAAAGGATGTTGAGTTCATTTTTGATGACAAATGCTTGAAGGCATTTGATAAATTGAAAGAAGGCCCTTATCTCCACTCCTATTGTTCAAGCCCCAAGGTGGGATCTTCCTTTTGAATTGATGTGTGATGCAAGTGATTGGGCTATTGGAGGTGTTTTGGGACAACGTGTAGAAAAGAAGCTTCATGTGATCTATTATATGTCCAAGACACTCAATGGGGCTCAAAAGAACTACACAACAACGGAAAAAGAATTTTTAGCAATTGTGCACTCTTTTGAGAAATTCTGTTGTTACTTGTTGGGTTCCAAGACCATAGTCCTCACGGACCACGCGGCCCTCAAGTATCTCTTTCCCAAGAAAGAGTCCAAGCCTAGGTTGATTCGATGGGTGCTTGAATTGCAAACTTTTTGAGATTGAGATTAGGGATAAGAAGGGTGCGGAGAATGTTGTGGCGGACCATCTTTCTCGCCTTGAGGGTGATCACATTCATGATGATGGTTCACCTATTGAGGATAGAATGCTTGATGACTTCTTATATGCCATAGAGGTGAAGGAACTCCCATGGTATGCCGACTTGGTGAATTTTCTAGCATGTGGGGAGTTTCCACCCTCTTTCTCAAAGAACCAAAGGAAGAAAATTAAAAGGGAGGCAAGACATTACTTGTGGGATGATCCCATCCTATACAAACGAGGGGTTGATGGCTTACTTAGGCGTTGTGTTCCGAATGAAGAGGTGCCTAGTGTTTTAAGGATGTGCCACTCGGACCCTAGTGGTGGGCATATGGGTGTTTCCAAGACCGCTACCAAGGTTCTTCAATGTGGTTTGTGGTGGCCGAATCTCTTCAAGGACTCATGGGGCTTTGTGAAGTCATGTGACCGATGTCAAAGGGTCGGGAATATCTCCAAGAGGAATGACATGCCTCAACAACCCATTCTTGAGCTAGAGGTGTTTCGATGTTTGGAGGATTGACTTCATGGGACCGTTCCCATCTTCATATGGTAATCAATTCATACTTGTGGCTGTGGACTATGTTTCTAAATGGGTTGAGGCCATTGCCTCCCTACTAATGACCACAAAGTAGTGCTGAAGTTGTTCAACAAAATCATCTTCCCAAGGTTTGGCATGCCTAAGGCTATGATAAGCGATAACGGATCTCATTTTGTTCACAATGCTTTCCAAAAGATGTTGAGGAAACATGGAGTGCATCAACGGTTCGGCCTTCCATATCATCCTCAATCAAGTGGCCAAGTCGAGGTCTCCAATCGTCAAATAAAGCTCATTCTTGAGAAGACGGTTGCAAGGAATAGAAAGGATTGGTCGAACAAGTTAGATGATGCTCTTTGGGCTTATAGAACGGCTTTTAAGACGCCTATTGGTACCACTCCATATCGCCTTATCTATGGCAAATCGTGCCATCTCCCGGTAGAGCTTGAACATCGTGCCTTATGGGCTATCAAGAAGAT